GACGTTATTCCCCATTTACTTTGCTTAAGCTCCAAGCAGGACGTTAGCTCTTCATCAATATTATTATTAAGTCAAATGATCAGTAAGCACTCAGACAAAATTAAAACTCCAGCTGCTTCGAGAGTCCGCCTTCTGCCCCTGCAGCTCAGTCCCTGTAGGTGTTAATGAACAACTGCAAAGTGGAAGGCAACTTAATGGAAAAGTGCAACGTTAAAGCAACTTGGAGGAAACACAGATTAGATGTCTGAGCACCAGCTGTTCAGTAAGACAGACCGGCGGCTCACAAAACTCAAACTACAAAGAAGTTTAGAGATCAGAACATGTTTTACTAAGAAGACTTTCTGAAAATGAACTGCATATATCTCAACAATGGTCCTCTTGCTGAATTTTTCAGTCTGTCAGAGGCTCAAATTATCTTTGAGCTTTATGAGGCTGATTCAAATTGTTCACCAGCTCATGAATAGGAATAAAGAGAGGAAACAGCTCTTCACCATTTAGTGCAGTATTTCAGACAGTCATTTGATTTCAGGCTTTTTGTGCTGGCAGTTGATGATTATTGCATGAATTAAGCCCTTCTGTGTTACATCTGACAGGTCTCTGCCAGGACAGGGAAAAGGAAAAAAACCCTGCCCTTCAAGAGGTTAAACCGTAAATGTAACAGATGCTGTTTTTTGTGTAAATGTTATCTTTACGTTCCGAGATCAACAAGCAAAACGATGACTTTCGATGAATATCTGCTAAACCTGTTGGGAGCCGTTGGGGAGGGGGTTTAATCCAGAGGATTACTGAACAATAGCTGCTTCCTAAAGTCAAAACCCAGACTTGGACAGTTTTCAGCGTTCGTCCTCAGATCCGCATTATTCGTTTAATATGTGCAAACACGCAATCACCCGGCGACAGACGGCAAACTAGAAATAGAATTGAGTCTAATCTACAGGAATTTTAATCAGTATTTAAAATGTATAAATATTAGCGTACCTTAACAATGTGAAAAGTTTCACAGACAAATGAAACGGATTTGCTGGGCAAATGGTGGCATTCATTGTCAAAGAATCCAGCTGGAGTTGCACAGATCTATACAATTAATTCATCTTTCTGTGTTTATCACAGTCTTCAAATGCAATCGCATCTTTAGTGAAAAGTAGACGGATGTAAATAATTTAGCGGAGCTCCACAGGGGAAAGGATCAAACATGCATTAAAGTGTTCGACGGTTCAAGAACTGCTGAAATATGCAGGAATATCGGCATTCGTATCACATGAAAGCAAACCCGCTTACAAACCCGTTCTTGAAAATGCATACACGGGGGCGTGATTATACGGAAATGTATTATTAGTCCCGACATCAATCCCGAGACGTGAGATGCACAAGAGCAACGTCTTGTGACTTAGGACATTTGTCATGTGTCATTTCCCCCTCCCATCTCTTATCTGTATGCTTTAATCCGTCCAATAAAATTGAAGATGCCCCCCGAGAAGGTAATTTTACTTGCGTGACTATCAGGGACACTGGGCAGACCGCTCTGCTGCGAAGCTCTGTAGCCGCCGAGGGAACCCTTGCCTC